TATCACAGCCTTAGTCATTATCCTTGGAAGGGAAGAAGAACAACCAAAAACTTGAACTATATTTTGTACTGGGAAATAACTCCACAAAGGCCAGTATCCCGTCACCAAGTCACCCTTTATTTACAAGTGCGTAGTACATGACACTGACTCAGCTAGAACAGAGCCAGCTCCTAGAATGAGCAGAACTGCTGACCCTCCTGTTTATATTTGTCACCCAGGGCTCCCTGATTGGACCAGATTAACAGCCCCAATCATGGAACTCATATTCTATGAGATCCACCTGGCTGACATCATTCCAATCACTACATACTGATTCCTCAAATTGCAACTCTTTTTAATATTGTATACACTATAGAAATTTAGCAAGGTAGTTCAGATTAGTAGCACACTTTGATTTACCAGTAACATTGATAAATCAGGCAAGCTGCTGTTTGTCATTTGTGGTATGGCTGAAACCTTTCACTATATTAATGCCCCACAAATATCTGTTGTCCTTGTAGTAATACTTTTGAACATTATGCCTGATATTACAGGCCCTCCTGTCACATAATGTCACACAGGGGAGGTTTTTTTCAACACAATGGTTCTTGGATTTGCATTCCAAGCTAGGTGATTTATACTTCAACAGCAAACTTTAATTTTCTAAAAGGAAGAAAAGAAAACTGGCTAATCAACTTACTGGCCAACAATTAATTTATAATTATTCACCAGCATATAAGCTAGATCGGTTCAATGAACACGACTCTTGGTTCTGAGTCAGAAGATTCTGGATTCATTATTCCATGCCAGAAATTTGAGTGGACGACCTAGATAGATAATTCAGTGCAATACTGAGATAACAGTGCATTGTTGGGCATCTTGGCTTTAGAATGAGATGTTAAACTGCGGGCCCACCTGATAATTCAAATAAACTTTAACCATTCTATGAGGCTATTTGATACCAGCAAGGAGCTCGCTTCACAACCAGGCCTATATTCTTCCTACGTAACATCACCATTGAAAAGCAAATTATTTAGTCATTATGTTTGAGAGATCTTGCTGTGCATTAAGATAGACAGTGTGGTGCGCCTACATAACAACAGTCATTGCATTTCAAGTGTAATTTACTGGGGTCTATTTTGTGCTTTGGGTGATCTGAATAAGGAGTATACTGGGGATTGACTGCCCAATCTGGTGGCTCCAGCCTCATTTAAATTTGGCAGGGAAGCTGCAGCATACCAAACTGAGCTCCTGGAGCAGTTCACTGGATTGACATAGGATACTGGGGTGGCTACCAGTAAAAGTGAATTATGGAGTGAGCAGGGGTTCAAAGACACAGAGTGATCTTAGGGCAGCAGTGGCCCAAATTACTTCCCAGAGGAACACGTGCAGATTTCTTTAGCTCCATTGCCCATAAAACTGATTGGGTTTTGGTTTCACTCCAACAATTCAGACCAAAAATGACAATCAGGGTTCTCTTTATGTCATGAGATCCTGATTCCACAGTAAAAGGGACTTAGACCTATCACTTAAAACTGGCAAGAACCAGATAGCTGGTTCCTTTGAAAATGGAACCCTCTGTATCACCAGTTAATAGGTATGGTTAACAACCATATCTCGAGGCCTCACTGACAGTAGGTGAGGGCAGTGTAATCCAAATTCATGATGTAGTTTAAAAACTTTCAAAGAGAAGCAATACAACATTTTAATGGAAGATTTATTTTCTTATGTGCAGTGGTAGTTGGCAGTGAGTGTGCTGTGATACAAACTCCAGATTTTAGTGACTATGACAGCATCCGAATTCCTGATGTGTGACAGTTTCAAACTCACAGCCAGCTCCCTATATAGAGAATACAAAGTGCTTTATGCCTCCACATTTTCTGAAGTTTCATCTCTGTGAATTGAATTTGCTGGCATCATAATGTATAGAATATATTCCTGACATGATTGGGTTTGATAGTGGAGCCTTTCTATCATTTATTATCGAGGTTCATGCACAGAAGTGACCTTTTAAATGCTGTTTTGGAGGGGTACCAATGCTCACAGAATTGTCATTGTTTCAGTGTTGCTGTGTTCTGTGAATCGTTTTTCTCTTTCTTCAGTTCTCTGCCTGAAGGCAAGTCTGACCCACAGTGCTGTGACCTCTACCGCGGGTAGGGCAAGAAAGCAGGTCCCAAACCTACCCTAGTTGGACCAAGAATCAAACCCCATGATGTTAGCACCAAACTTATCCACAGTGGCCATTCAACCAACTAATCTAACCCCACAAGGAGTCCAAGTTGCTATGGCAACATACACTTCAACATATTGTAGTCTTGAGCTATGAATAGTGATTGTTCAGGCTCCAGTTTTCTTTCCATTACATTACTGACCAGGAATCTATCCTGCTCTTATTGCCTGCTACTGGCATGTGTAGGAAGGATTCGCAGGTTGATATTCAACCTGTTTGACTGCATTCCGAATGCACCTTCTTTGGCCATTAAGTCCTAGAGTAGATCTTCTGGAAGGAGGGAGGGACACTATGCAGTGATGGTACCCCTCAGTAAAAATGGGAACACAGAATAGTAATGTAAATAGGGTATAATCAATGAGGCCAGACACATGTTTGCCCTATTGTATTTCATTTGTGGTATTAACGGATCTCCTATGGCATCTCTGATGGGTAGTTTGGGTAAGAGGGGCCAGTTAGATCAGTTGACCTGACAGCTAGAATGTAATTCAGAATAAAGCCGACAGCGAGGGATTCAATTCCCATTTCAGCTAAGGTAGGGTTGAGGCTTACTCTGTAATAAAATCATGGAATAAGCCATGCTTCGGTAACTCTCAAATTGAAGGGATACTGGGCTGGAGATGTTTGGATAAAGTTAAATTATTTTCTGTAAGCCACCAGCAAAAGTGGGTTTACAACTTATTTTCCATGAGTGTTAATACGTAGTTGCTACAAGAATATGGAGTGCTATCTGAAGTCATTACAATGTTTAATTGAATTGGAATGTGTTCCTACGAATGTGATTATTTCAGCAGCCCTTTCAATAACAGCTAATCAAATTACAGATATTTGGAAAATGGTTAATCTGTAATTTCCACATAGACATTTAGGAGTAAACCTTTAGGTTAGCTAAGTTTTATAAGTCACAAAGCACATTCACAGAATAGAAATAGTTAATATGATTGTTGGGAGAATGAGGCATTATTTATAACAGCAGTCCTACCAGAAGCTGTGCTTTCAGTCTTGCTTTGTCCTGCTGACATAAAAATTGCTTTAGTCAGGTAGAGACTGATCTTTCAAATCTATCTTGATCAGCGATTTTGTAACCAGAATCTGCCTCCATCTGGGGATAAATACAATGAGATTGTTAGTTCAAATCACACAGATCCATCACGTACAGATCATTCTGCTGATGCAAGACACTGATGCAAGTTTAATGTTGCTGTCTATTTAACAAATACTCAGAAATCCTATTATATACAAGCAAAACAGTGAGAATAAAACATTCAGAGATAGCAAGAACTGCAGATGCTGGAGTCAGAGACAATACAGCATGGAACTGGAGGAACACAGCAGTCCAGGCACCATCAGAGGAGCAGGAAAGTTGACATTTCGGATCGGGACCCTTTTCTGAAGAAAGGTCCCGACCCAAAACGTCAACTTTCCTGCTCCTCTGATGCTTCCTGGCTTGCAGTGTTCCTCCAGCTCCGTATTGAGAATGAAGCATTGTGCTTTTATATAGATTTGTTTTTCATACAGTAAAATTTTACTCATGTTTAATAAATTGCTGAATAATTAAGTTTTAGCCTGAATTTCATGACCTGTCAGCACAGTGCTTTCCACCAGTTAAGAAAAAACTGAGCACAACTTGGACAAGCAATATTTCTCGTGACTGCCCAAATGCTCATCATAAGTTCAAGTGGTACATTTTCCTATACATTTTGCACATAACTGAAAGTTTCAGTTTATAGGAAATATGTGTTGCCTATGGAAGCAGACATTTACAGTGATCCAAAATGTAGAATATTAAGAAGTTACCTGAGGGGCAACTTTTCCACACAGAGGGTGATGCGTATATGGAACGAGCTGCCAGAGGAAGTGGTGGAGGTGGGTAGAATTACAACATTTAAAAGGCATCTAGATGCGTACATGAATAAGAAGGGTTTAGAGGGATATGGGCCAAATGCTGGCAAATGGGACTAATCAATTTTGGCTATCTGGTCAGGATGATGGCAAACCATGTCAAAGGCTGCAGGTTGGTCATGAATGATGTGAAGAAATAATTTATCATGGTCACAGTGACAGAGTATCTGACTTATAACTTCAAGTAGGGCCTCTACAGTGGTGTGGCAGGGCACACTGGAGGAATCCAAACACAGAGTTGCAGGAAAGATACCTAAAGATTTGGGAGGCGACAACATATTCAAGAATTTGGAAAATGAGATAATACTTTGAATTAGTTAATTTTCTGGTGACTGTGGTGCATTGTAGAAGTTCATTTGGAACATTTTGTAGGTATAAAAGCTTCACGAATTGTCAACGGTGGGCTGTTTAATTTGGTTCGTTGTTTTGTCTCCGAATTAGGAAGATTACGGGGGTCTGGCACAAAGAAACAATCCTGTCACATTTTTCTGAAATTTTGCAGCTGCCTATTTGACTGAATTCTTACGTAACTCATTCTGCATAACCTTACAGTCCAGAGACCTGCTATTGAATACACTGTCCAGGGCAGCTTGTGAGGTTAAAGGAACGTTGAGTTGATGGTTTCTTTTGACGAGTTATTGAGCATGTACAGACTTCAGTAGTGTATTCAACAAGGTCACAATTGCGAAGGTAGCAATGAAGAACGCTGTTTGGAACTGATGTTTGAAGTGTTGCCGGAACTATTAAAGGTACCTCAATAATACCTTATTAGAATATATATTGTATCGGGTAGCAGCCTGCTTCATTTCCAGCGCCAGTGGGCACTTTTCGCATTGGATGACGCTAAGAAAAAAGGGCAGGGGCTCCTGTGGGTGACGTCAGCCTTTGGTTAATAGGCAGTTCGGCACCGCCCCGCCTGAGAGAAACGGAGTGCGAGAAGGAAGAGGAGGCTGAACTTGTTTCATCCACTCAAACATGGCCGGCTTCTCAGCCTGGTTCTGGAACGAGAGATTCTGGCTCCCTCACAACGTCACTTGGGCCGACTTAAAGAACACCGACGACGCCGAGTATCCGCAAGCTGGCGATTTGCTCTTCGCTTTCCCGTTGGCATTTGGCATCTTCCTCGTCCGCCTGGCGTTCGAGAGGTAAAAGGAGCAGTGGTGTTGGGGTGGAGGGGGAAAGGGAAGAATGGGTTTTTTTTTTTTTTTTTTTTTTTTTTTTTTTTTTTTTTGTCAATCGCGTGTAGCTGGAGCAGCCCTGAGGTCCCACCTTCGTTGTAGGGCGAGGGTCATTGATTGGCTTGTTTGGGGTTCTCGGTTGTCTGCCGTGCGAGGTCTTCGGGCTCCTCATTCGTCACCTCGCGCTGTCAATCACAAGTAGGGGTCTGTCAGTGAGGAGTGGGAGGGCGCGAGAAGGAAATGCGTCTTGTAAGTACTGTGATTTCTCAAGCAGGATTGCTTCCAAAGCTTTGCAGCTAAATGTGTTTCTAATTAATACTTGTCCAACAGGGCAACGATGCAGGCAATTGGAATCCAAAGTCAAATTTAGTTTTATTAGCATAGGTAATATTTTACAGTCATTAGGGTAGTACCTGTGTATAAATAAGTCACTTTAGTTTTGGCTATTCGCTTTCTTGCTCCCAGAGCTTTCGTTCAGACTGGTCAGTGACTGGTTCGCGCAAGGGAATCACCTCAAATGACGTGATCTCTAATCTCTCGGACTAGTGTCCAGAACTCGCTTGCATTATTGACAAGGAGCCATTGTTTTGGTGTCCTGCAGGACAGGGTGCTGGTGGCTCTTACACCAGACTCTGTGCATTTTCGCCTCCTCAGTAAATGCCTGGACGTTGAAGCTGTGAGGATTATAACAGATCTGTGGTACCTTTGTTACCATCTGGTATCCACTTGCAACTAACACGCAGAGTCTGATTACATTCCCTGCTAGTTATTGAATTTAATCTCCAACTGGCCTTGATTTTCAGTGATCAAGGAGAATGACACGTGGAGGTCTTTGGTTTATATTTGAGGGCCATATTCCTGTGGACAATATTTGAATATTGTAATGTTTCATAAGTTATCTGTTAAAGCTGCAGTGTACTGTAATAATAATTTATTTCTTTTGGTCTCGGTATCATTTCACTGACTAGCTCAGATGTTAGTTTTTTTTAACCATCATAGCCATCTGCACCCTTGATGGCTCAATGGAATTAAGAGCTAAGCTGTCTGTCATGGTACTGAGCCATACACACTGGAAGGCCGTAGGTTTGACATCTTGTTTGCGCAGAAGTTATCAGGGCACGTGTGGGGCACTATAGCTAACTTTATTGTCCCTGGACTATGCATTATTATTATCCATTCTGATTGCTATTCAGCAAACTCTGCCAAAAAAATGCATTCTTGCCAAGCACAGGATTGGATTTACAATGTGCCCAAAATTAAGGAACAGGTTTGTATTTCCTATGTAGGAGAGCAAGTATGCTGCTGTATGTCAGCAGTTGTTGACTGCTCAACACCAAATTGTGAGAAATGAGAGGGTGAATACTTTAAGTTTTGGAAGGATGTGATTTGAGTGTTTATATCTAGCTGCATGGTGGATAGGAATTTGGACATGGTGCTGTGATCAATGTATAAGTGCTGGAGCTCTATACAATGACTTCTGCTCTTTTTTTTGTAAGCATATTCCCAGATATGATTCAGTCCAATTTGGTTACGTATTCCTGTTGTCTTGAGGTAATTGGAATGCAGGTTTGTGCAGTGTACTTGGAGCTCTGATTTAGAGCACTCCAGATTTAATGTAGGAGCTCCCATTTGCAGACGTTTGTGTCCTAGCTGACAAATCATAGAATCTCTACAGTGTGGAAACAGGCTATGTGGCTCAACAAGTCCACACCAACACTCCGATGAGCATCCCATCCAGACTCAACACCCAGGCCCCCCCCCACCAACCCCCAACCCTATTTCGTGTAACCCTGCATTTCCCATAGCTAATCCACCTAGCCTGTACATCCCTGACAAAATGGGCAGTTTAGCATGGCCAATCCACCTAATCTGCACATATTTGGATTGTGGGAGCAAACCAGAACACCTGGAGAACGCCCATGCAGACACAGGGAGAATGTGTGCACTCTACATAGACAGATGCCCGTGTCTAGAATTGAACCCAGGTCGCTGGTGCTGAGGGGGAGCAGTGCTAATCGCAGCCACTGTGCTGCCTCAATGTTCCAATTCATATGAGGGAGGAGGGGAACGGGGGCAAATTCTACTAATTCTTACCGGATTGTCCATCTTCACCAAAAAGCTCCACATAAGCGAGAATGGCTACAAAGTTGCTAACCTTGCAAAATGGATCTTCATTTGACTGGTGGAGTGACCACTGTGTAGAATGTGAGGCTTTAGGGAAGTAACATTGAGGATTGCTCAATCCAACAGACTTGGTTTTGAAACTAGTGTATAACATTCCTGCCCTATCTTGGCAATTTCCTTCCCCCAGTCCCACAAGTATCCAATCACCCTGGGCTGGGGGCCATGATAATGCCAGCTGAGTGTTGGCAAACACTCTCTAACAACAGTGAAGATGAGCAGATCTGCCTCAGCTGTCACATTCCTGGGAAGTTCAAATGTGGAAATCGGGCAATGGCTTATTGGATTAGGATGAGAGGGACTCCTGCCTGAGCTTCTCCGCATTCCTTCCTGACCTAGTTGTGTGGAGGGAAATTGCCTTGCCCCATCAATGAGATAAATGACAACACGGACCAAAGTTTGAACCTTATTTTCCAGGTCTGTATTACACCAGCTTACCTGTCTACCAGGCAAGAGTGTTTCTGGTTTTGAATCATGGTAACTTGAGATTACTGGCTGTTGGTGCAACCAGTATTGGGCCAGGTAAACTGTAACCCCTTTGTAAGAAATTTGCAAGTGGAACAGCTAGATCTGCATTCGGAAATGAAATCTAGTGCTTCACAGGAGCAGCTGATAAAACTCGAACGTTTCCAGGAACAAGTTTCTGGAAACGTTCCAGAAATAAAAAGAATCTGTTTTTTTTTTTCCCCCAGTTTGTCGAAAGCCTGTACGAGGGTTTTTTCTCTATTTAGCATGAGTCCAGCAGAAAGCATTCATGAATCCTGTCGGTTCTGTTGCATTTGCCATCAGTCTGCTATCACACCCCCAAAGCACGGACGTGTTTAAACTTTAGGCCAGAAAGTCTGTGGTAACCCATCATAGTGTGTGGAATCGTTTTGAGGTCTGGATGGAGCAGTTTGCTTTGCTCAGATTTAAAATGAGTCAGAACATTTGTTTGGTTTGGAAATGATTCTGAATTTGCCACTTCACCAAGCACCCAAATTTCATTTCTCAAATCATGCTGTCTCTTGCTGTCATGCCCTCTAAGACTGAAAGTGATAGGCAAAATATCAGTCTTTGTCTTCAATGTGTAGTTGGATGAACAGAAATGAGACCTTTCCTTTTTTTTTTAAAAAGGTGGAGAATATAAATCTGGATGGGGAGATGAGACCAAGAATTGATTGTGCTCTGGAATAGTAAATGGTGATTTTTGGCTGGAATTCTAATGTAAGAGCATTGTCCCAAAACATTAATTCTCTCGCTGTCTCGCCAGATGCTGCCTGACCTGCTGATTTATTTGCAGAATTTTGTTTTTATTAGAGAAACAAATAATTATTGTCCCCACCTCCTCAATGATATGAGCTGTGAATGCATTGTAAGCATGATACTGTGTGCAATAATAAATCTGCCATGTTGTCACGTAAAAGGAGAGAGTAACAATCCTATAGCCTTGTGATTATAGTGCGATAAGTGTTTTATAATGTCTGAAAGGGAGATAAAAGAATGTAACAGATTCACATTAAAATCCTTGAACTGTAACTGGCAGTACCGAAGGGCTGGGTTATCATTTTCCTATCTTGAAGAACTGCAAGTACAGAGGTCAACCAGTCTCAAACACTGCTGTGTTGGACAAGTCAATATTTAGTGATTTACGGTCATCAAATGATAAGCCTGTATATGCTTTAAAGGTACCGCTTTTAAGGCCTGGAGCCTTTTGAGCTGCACCCCCATGGTTGGGTGTAGGTTGTGTTAGGACTTTTTACATTCAAGGTGAGAATGTATATTGAGTTGTGGTAAATGTGCAGATAATGGTATGCAACTTCATGCAATTTTAGCTAAAAACTTTTAAGGGGTAGAGAAACCAATTCCTATTCTTCTGACATCACATACAGAGTAGGCTGGATCTCCTTCATCCCTCAGCATGTACCTCAATGTAAGCTTACAGGTGCATCAGGTAGTGAGGGCAGCAAATGATATATTGGCCTTCATACTGAGAGGATTTCAGTACTGGAGCAGGGATGTCTTTCTGCAATTATACAATGACGCTACACCTGGAATAATGTGTGCAGTTTTGGCCTCTGCCTCCTGAGGAAGGTTGCTATAGCTGTGGAGGGGGTGCAACAAAGGTTCACCAGGAATGGCAGGATTGATGTACAAGGAGAGATTGGATTGGTTCAGACTATAATCACTGGAGGTTAAAAGACGGAGGGGCAATCTCATAGAACCCTATTAAATTCTAACAGAAAGACTAGATGGAGCAAGTGCAGGGAGGATGTTCCTGATGCACGTAATCAGGAGCAGGAGTAGGTCATTCAGCCCCTTGAACCTCCCCTGCCATTCAGTATGATAATGGCTGATCTGATTGTAATCGTACTTCCACATTCCTGCTTCCTCCCCAGTAATCTTTCAACACCTTACTTAACAAGAGTCTGTCCACCTCTGACTTTGTTTCTGTTGCCTTTTCAGGAAGAGAATTTCAAGGACTCCCCACACAAATGATTTTGCCTCTTCTATGTTTTAAATGAGCGACTTTAATTTTCTCAACAGTCACCTGAGTTCTAGTAAAACCAAAATACCGTGGATGCTGGAAATCTGAAACAGACACACAATGCTGGATAAAAGCAGCAGGCTGGGCGGCATCTGTGGGGAGAAGGAGTCGACGCTTCAAGTCCAGTATGACCCTTCAGAAGAATCCGTACTGAACTTGAAATGATAATTGTTACACTCTCCAATGATGCTGCCAACCCTAATTCTAGAATCTCCCACAAGAGGAAACACCCTTTCCACATCCATCCTGTCCAGACCGC